CTTGGAGTTTACAAAGTGGAGACCAAGTGGTGGTTTTCTTGATTCCTGTTCCTGAACAATTACCGCTACATTTTCTGTCTCCCCCTTATAGTAAGGCAGCTTTAAAAAGCAGAGTGTGATAAAAGACAGCTTATTCCCTTTCTTGCTTCTCTCCATTCCCAGGCCTCACTTTGCAACCTTTCTGTTCTTCCCCTAGCCTACTTTCAGAGCTTCCAGAGAGCTTAATTTTGCTCAGGACAAGAGGACAGTGTTATCTTTTGGGGCTCTAGGAATGTAGCTGCCATCAAGCAGGGATGGGTAATAGACAGCTCATCTGCAGTAGTTTGGGGAAAGTTTGGAGGTCAAAGCAAACTCGCTGAAGAAGCGCTGCCTGCCTGAGCATAGCAATTTTGTTTTCTCTTCGCACTGGACTCAGACCAGCTTCTTGTGTGATTAAGGCAGGCAGGGTTGCGCTTCTTGCCACTGTGGAGTGAGTACCCACAGACTGGAAGATGCTTGGAATTGAAGACCAGTAGCTTGGTGTTGCTGATATGCTTCATTTCTCACATGTGTTGTTGCAACTAGTGGCAGATCAAATTGAAGAATCAATTAGATCATTTCTCTCCATGCATGCCGTATCTGTTTTCACAGGAGCCCTTTCCTGCCAGCAGACTCTGCATCTGCAGAAACTGATTTTGAATGTTTTATCCTGAGCTTCTCTAAAGGGCAGCATTCATTGTTTCCGTTTGTCAAGGGGCAACACCAGGCAGTTCTGAAAGATGTTATAAAAACAATTTCAAAAGTTTTTCCTACTGGCTAGAGAATTATTGCAGCCGCTGTAGAAGCACACCCTGTTGGGAGTGAAGATGGTGAAGAATGGGAATGCTGCTTGGTTGGAGATATACCTTCTCTCTGGGTGAGAGCTGTGGCAGGGGATGTTCCCATTTTGGAAAAACTAGGACTAACATAGTGATTCGCCTGCTTTTCACCTTATAGCCCATATGGTTTTTGAGGGAAAAACTGCTAGTGGGAGCCAGTCTGAGACTGGCCGGTTATAGCAGCCTCAAGAGCAGCCAAAGTTAGGAACCTTCTACCAGCGAGAGCTTTCCAGTTTGAAGAGCACAGACTGCCTTGTGATCGGTTGCTGTTGCTCTGATCATCTCTGTCCTGCAGTCTTTTTACCGTCATTTTCTCAATCCTGTCTGCTCCTCTGTCCCTCTCTTCTGTCTCTGTGCCCCTTCCATCTGGATTCTTTTTCTGTTTTGTTTATGTTTAGTTTATCTCCAACTGAAGTCTCTGTCATGGCCCTCAGTAAAAACACAGCACCATTATGTTTTCAGCTGCCACCACCACTGTTTGCGTTCTCTTTGTTTCTCTTGCATTGAGATCATTAACTCCCTGGGACAGGTACTACCTGCCAATCTGTACTTACTGCAGTGAGACCTACTTTTAATGGTCTAATAACATGATTAATGTTGCTAGTACAGATAAATTATTTGTTGGTTCTTAGGCTCCTGAATCAGGGAGGAACATTCTATACTCTTCCTGCAATTATTCCCTTCCGCTCCAAAGAAATAAATACTTAGGTTGCTCATTCTGAAGGAAATATGGGTTCATATGAATCTCTACATGCCCTCTAGCACCATGACATCTAGGCGGTTTGCTCTCTGAAGAGTTGCATGAGGAACTTAAGAGAGAGTGTCTGCTTTTCTGGGAGCACTGGCGTGTTCCCAGAAAACTTACTAGTGTGTAAATGGTTCTCCTTGGGAGATCAAGGAATAAAGAATGTGGAGATCACTCCTGGTCTACCTTGGAGCATTACATGTCAACCACAAGACAGGCCCCTGGGAGACTTTTTATTTTTATTTTTTTCCTGGATCACTGTTTCACCTTCTTCTGCCTGTTAAGCTTCCTTCTCTTGTTTGATGACAGCCTTCTCTCTTGTCAGTTGGCTGCTGAACTGCAAATCTGTCAGAGGACACAGTAGAGTTAGAGAGATGTCTCCAGTGCTGCTGAGTCTTATGGTCCCTAGAGAACTGTATCCCAAGAACATTCTGAAGTTTGTATGATAAATAGCTGCTAGCCCCACCGAGGGACTGTGCAGTGTGGCTATATGTAAGCGTGCACACTATCAAAGGCTGGTTGGGGAACTGAAATGTTTCTGTTGATACTTTACCATTTCTCTGCTGTTCAAATATGCTGAAGAAGATGCTAGTGCTTCATGAATACCAAACACAAGGTGAATTTTTTTTTTATGAGATGAAGATCTCTGAGAACAGCAGATCAAAAATCTTTTGTAAGAGCTTTAACCATTCTTTTCCTCCTCCCCAAAGGTACTGTGTACTGGCTGATATCCCAATAATAAAGGCAGTCACAGTGTAAAAATAAAACATTGCCAAGGCTCAGCTGTTGCATGCTGGTGTCGCGAACTAACGATGGCAGAGTTGCTGTTCTATTGCCCATAAGGGGAAGACTATGTGTAAAAGCTACTGTCCCCTGTTGTCTCTAGGAACAGCTGCCTGTGGAGTGGCAGCTTTGCAAAGTGAAATTTCAGCTGTTTACTCAGTAGCCCAGGAGGGCAGTTGCCTAAAACTACACCCCACGGACAGCATGGTTTTCTAAAGATGGAGGAATAGCAAAGGCGTAACGGTGTAGTTTATGCGGAAAGGCTCCGTTATTGCTTAACGGCTTAGGCTGGATAATGATGGAATTTCTTGTAGCAGATGTGTGGGAAGGAGCTGTACCACGTGCAGAGCCTGGCCTTGATAGCGTGTGCTGGGCAGTAAGAACGTGGCTGTGCAGAGCCCAGGATTGAATCCAAGCTTTTCATGCTCTTCTCCCCCAGGCTGCCTGCAGATTCAGGAAAGCAGCTCTGTAGAAGATCAGGTTGGGGAAGAATTCTTCATTGTGGAAAGAGCTCTTTTAAAACAAATTGACGTGTTGAACTTCCTCAAGTCGCTGAGGAGTTGTCCATTTTTCTTCAGGGGAATGAGGAAGGAGAGGCGAATTGTTTCTCCTCTTTAATGTCTGTTGCTTCTTACTGCAGTGGCAGCTGGTTGCTGGTTTGCTTTCCCTGGGTGAATCCCAGCTGTGATTGCAGGTGCCGCTCCGCTAGCTCACATCTGAGCAGGGACTTCTGAGCAGGCGGCCCATGTGAAGTGCTTCACAGCAGTGGATACAAATGAATGTTAAATCTGTTCCCTGGTAAATGTTGGAAGCATGTGAGTGCACTGAACCCCACTGAGCTGCCAAACCTTCTGTCAAGCCAGAAGTTAAGTTGTTGTAAGTCTGTGTTCCTGGTTTTTTTCAATAGCTTGTAGCGTGTCCTGTAGGAGTGTAAATATGACTCCAGTCAGGCATGAAACACGCAACTTGAAAGGCAGAGAGTTGGAGAGGCTGGGTAATGGAGAATGTGATAGTGACTCACAGGAGCCGCTTCCCTTGTCGAATCGAAATGGGAAGGGTCTGGGCATGTATCTGCCTGCTGCCTCCCTCTTTGCTGGAGGGAGGAGGGGGACTGAAAGGCTGGCTGGGGCCCTGCTGAATTTGCGTTGCTGTCAAGGTAAGTGAGACTGCAGAGGCTCCCCTGGGCTAAGTACGTCCTGATGCTGTAGGCATCCCTGTGTATGGACTGAGTCTGTTATGTTGACAAAGCGTGGCTGGAAATCTTGCAAAGAAAATCTGCAGATTCTGGCTGGGTTTTTTTACTCTTCTCCCCCATCTTTTCTGTGCATCCCCACTTTGTTTGAAGAATGGAGGAATGTAAAGAGCTAAGGATGCATCCAGGTGGATTCTCTTTCCACCAATTCTGATTGACACCATTGAATATCACTTGCTTCTGAACTCAGTTAACTTCTCTTAGCTGTGCTGAGGTCTTGAGAAAATAGCAGAAAGCCCTCCTGGCAGCAAGAGGTGTGGGAGGAAGGAACCCATTAGAGTGCAACCGAGGGAGCCAGAGTGAATTTTCATGGTGATGAATATGAGAGTGAAAGCCCTGGCTGCTGCCGCAGTGCGATTTGGCCAGGCAAGCGTTCTTCAGGCATCCATCAGTGCACTTGTCTGTGCCGAGCCCTGACATGGGCTTTTCTTATCATGAGCCTTGCCTTGGCAGTGGGTCTCATGAGTACCATCGCAAGTAGGCCAGCAGTGAAATCTAGCCTGAGGAGACTTTGCTGTCTTGCCATTTGTCTTCTCAACTGCACCTGAAAAGCAGACTAGAGGCTGAGGAAATATTCTAGGAGAAGGGTGGTTCCTCTCCTGCCCCCTTCATTTTAGTTCGCATTTTGGATTTCCCAGACATGTCTCAATCCTGTTAGAAGGGAAGGAGTATGCTGGTGCAGTCAGTGAGAGAAATGAGGCAGAGAATTAGGGCTGAGCGGTGTTCCTACTGCTGTGCTTGGGACACAGTGCAAGTTCATGCGTTATTTTTGATGACCTAAATGGAGCCGAGGGCTATAGCCGTTATGGAAGAAGTTTAAAGTAGCGGCTGAAACGATCAATCTCCACAGGTAGGAGCTGACTACAAAATTTCAAACTAGATTGGAGATCAACACGAATAAACCATCAGCTTCTACGCCACAGGCAACAAAGTCACCTAAGGCAACCTGTCATCCAGTCCTGGTTTTGGAAAGAATCAAGAGATGCACTTTTTGAGTAGGACATGGCTGGGATCTCCGGGTTCACCATGTCTCTGCTAGAACACTGGGTAACTTGCAGCCTTTTCCCAGCATTACAGTAACTCCCTCTGGCACAGCCACGAGCCCAGCCCCATATCTGCTGTGACAAATGCACCCGCGCTTAGGGCAGTGTCTGGGTTTGCAGTTTCCAGTGAGGATGTGACTGAATCAGCACAGGCCTCTCAGCAGGGAGGTTGCCTTTGGCAGAGCAAGCAATGTAACGCGTAGAGGGAGGAGGTACGTCTTGGAGGACTGTGGCTCCATGTGCACTGACTCAGGTGGGTGAGGGATTTCTGCTGCATCCATAAGCTGTTCCTGAGACCTGTGAAAATTTCTTTGTTTCAGAGCCATCATCAATCACTTCAACCCAAAGATAGAGTCTTATGCTGCGGTGAATCACATATCACAGCTCTCTGAGGATCAGGTAAGCCAGACATGTGGTGATCTTTTTTCACTGTGACCTCTGGAATACAGGCATATTGGAGCACCTTTTGCTCGTTGGGGCTGATGATGTTGCAGAGGTTTGAGGGATGAAGGTGAGACTCTCTTATTCCTTGCTCAGGTGTAGGTGAGAAGAGGGCTAAAGCAAGCCTTCTTTTTCAGTTTTACCATCACATGCAGGCATCTTGGTCCAGCAAATGCAGAGGGAACAGCGAGGATGATGGGGGTGGGGGGAAGATGCAGCGTTGTCAGCAAGTGTGGTTAGGCACCCTGAGAATGCTAGTATTTTAGCAGGGGTAGGAAGTTCTTGGCAGCAAGTTTACTTGTCAGAAGTGTTAAATCTGGCTTGATTTGCTGTGATATTGGGCAAATTGTTGGTAGAAAAATTTCTAGGGTAATTGAATGCAGTGTCTTGAGCAGCTGTTTTAGACAGATTTTGAAAAGAGAAGGCTCTGATGTAGAGGGTGATAGAGTTAGGTTTCTCTCAAGCCCTGCTTGTCTTGCATAAGTGTGTAAATGTGGCTTCTTGAAAACAAGCAACTGTGCGTGGTCTTAGGAGGGGAACAGACGACCTGCTTTCCGAAATAAAATATTCAGGTTGTATGTTAACAACTCTTGGAGGGACGAATGACTCTGCAGGAGCCTGGGGTGGACAAAATACAGAGCTGCCACGCAAGTTGGGGGGAACGTCCCCGACGCAGTTGTGTCAGCATCTCTGAACCTTCCAGAATAGAAATTGGGTACACGGTATGGGAGGGACATCATTTAAATTGCCTTGGCTTGCTCAAAGATAGGATCCCGTGCTGCTGTTTAAAAAGTCCTGACCACGTCTTCCTCTGTAGTTCACTTCTTTCATTACTTGATGCCCTCCCTTGCTTTCCACTAATCTTACCGTGTTGTATTGTACTTGATCTGTAATCAAGTGTTTGGGTAACACCCCAAAGCCTCAGTTTGAACGCTCTACTAACAAACAGAAGAAATGTGGCCCCTACTGCTTTTTATTCTCTTCTTGGTAGAGCCGGCTGGAGGAACACTGGTTTAACTTACCCAATTTTTATGTATTGTTCTGCCTCTGAGAGTCACTGTACCCACAGTTGTGCTCTATGACAGTTTGTTCATGTTATAAATCCTCATTCATTGATGATATACTGATTGCATCAACCCAGGCCCCTAAAAAAGAAAAGCCTTTGATATTGCAATTTAAAATGGGAGTTTGGATAGGGGAGACTTTTGCATGGTGTTTAGGTTAGCCTGAGAAAGGAAAGGAGCTTTTTACTGTCAGCTCTGTGTAGTATTCATCTCCCAGCAGGAGTTCAGGAAGGTCAGGTTGAATCCTTTCTTCTTGTGTGCTGTTTCTTAAATAAAATCTCAAGCAGCAGGTAGATAATAAAATCAGTGCTGATGCATGGAGCATTTGGAGGAAAATGATTAGGAAGTTGAAAGACAGATTTCCCCCCCCCCCGGTGCTTTCTCCCAATGTAGGGAACGCATCGGCATAGCAAAACAATACAAGTCCTGGTGAACTGTAGAGGAATGGTGGAGATGTTGCTGTACTGAGAGACTGTGTGGCCTCAGTGAGGGTGTTTAGTCGACTTTCTGCAATTTACTGCACAAGGATGAGAGTGATGGAGAGGAATTGCTTCTACTTCTAATTAGCCAGTAAGTTTAGGCCTGTGTTTGGACCACAGTTTCCCCTCCATCAGTGGCTGTCCCACATGGTAGGTAGGTGATAGATAGTGGTAGATGGCTAAGATCAAGGCCAGGATCCAGCTTTTGCGGAGTAACTGATTTTGTTTTTCTATTAGTTATCCAGCACATGGGGCTCAAGCTTGCCTTCTGGCCATTATAGTCTGTCTGTCTTTTTTTTTTTTTTTTCTTTTTTCCCCCTTCCAGCTCTACCTTTTGTCTTTGCATACGTGCTCACTGTGCTCACTTAATTCCCCTTCCCACTTCTCTCAGCAAATGTTGTTTGCTACAAAATCCATTCTCTTCTGTCCTGTTTTCTGAAGTGTACCGCACTGAAGCTTTTTATGCTAACACTTAAAATGTAATCATTGAACTCTTGTGTCAACACACAGATGTTACATTTGGGACTAGTCATTCTCTCCTATGAGCTGTTATTTCAGCAGTTTCAGGAGACTAGTACTTCTTTCTTTCTGAGGATTTGTTTTTATAATAATGAGGACCAAACTGTTTTTTTTTCTTTTTATTTATGAAGCATTCTTTCCTAGAAACTAGTTTGTGGCTGGATTCTCATACGGCTGCTCTTACTCCTCTGTTATATCTGAGCATCCCCCATTAATCAAGCATGGCTTTGACATAGTTCTATCTAAGGGTGATTTTCTAACTGCTCTGAGTTTCATTTGAACCTACTTAGCTTGTGGACTCTTACTTCAGACTGTGTGAAATTTTCTGTGCTGCTCCCTGACTGTTCCAGCACCCTGCTCGTGTATTGGATGAATTTTTATTTTTGTATTTGTAATATCCTTAAAAGCAACTATGTAATTGGCTGAAATAAGTTGTGCTCTGTCTTATTCTTTTACTAATCCTGTTGAAAGCTTTATTACCTTGTTAATCACTAATGTCCATTTATTACCATTCTTAATCTGTCATTTAAGTGCTTTCTCCTTTCTTTCTTATAAGCATTAATGTTAACAGTATTACATGCAGAGAGGATTCATAGGCCCATGAAAATGGTGAACATGGAACTGTTCAGGAGGGCTGTTCATAAGCTGCTACCATTGCACATCTTCAGTCCTAAAGATCTCCAGGAATGGTAATTTTAATATACAGACCTGTGCTCTAGGGAGGTATGTTCACAAGGCTTTGTGGTACTGCTTTGTTGACCATTGCGTGGTTTATCCAGTGTTCAGATCAGAAGTACTGGGTGGAAGGCCTTTTCTTTCCATCTCCTGTTGAATAAGGAGCATGCCCTGGTTATGCTATAGGTCCAACACTACTTTTTTTTTTTTTTTTCCCCCCTATCAAGCGTTCTTCATGGGTTGGCGACAGTATGCAAGTGCTCCATTTTGAAAGTGTCCTGGAAGTGAATGGGAGATCTCCAGGGGCAAGCAAATGCCAGGGTATTGACTATGAGCCTTCTGAGTTTATAAACACTATGTGATCCTTCTCAGTGCTACTCTGCAAAGAGTCTATTTGCCAAAGTAAACTCATAATCCCTCCCAGCTTTTTAGTTATCGTGAGCTTGCTGTAGTTCTTCCACCACGAAGCAGTGAATGTGTCTCTTAGTCAAAGATATTATTTTATTGGCCTCTTCCCTTCATTTGCTAGTTGGTGACTAGCCAACTTAAATCTGACTTCAGAGTTAATTTTTGCTTGTATGGCATTCTCCCTCTCAATGCTTGTGGCTCCTGCTCACGCATCCTTCCAGGAACTGGAGGATGCTGCACTGTCAGAGAGATAGTGTTGGCCATTAACTGCCATGTAGTTTTAGCTCTCGCGCACAAGTGATCGTTCCCAGGTCTTCAAATAAGGTTTGGGTCCCTTCCCAAGTCAAAAGGCAGAACAGCCTTCTGTAAAATGAATTTCCAGGCTTGTTTGTGCTCTCCAGATGACTGGGCTGCCTTGTACTTCATACATAAGGGGCAGTAGACTTTCTCTGTGCTATCTGATTTGAGAAGCTCCTAACAGCAGAAGCAGTTAGCGAAAACAGGGGACAAGGCGGTAAGAAAACAGCAACACAGGAGTCGCTTCAGTAGAGCGGATACAGACAGATAGAAGAGTTGATGACACAGGGCATGAGAGGTCGGGATGGGGTCTCCAGTCTTCCTTTTCTTCTGGGTGTGAAAGAAGAGCTGTGTGCAAGAACACAGCTCTCTGCCTGATCGTGATGTTGCACAGCTATTCTGGAGGGGCTAAAGTGAGGGGAACACAATACTACTTTGGTGAAACCTCTTCAGAGCAGGAATCTCTTGCCAAGTAAGTCTTGTGCCAATTTGCTGGAGAATTACATAGCGAAATTGCTCGCTAAGACCTTATTTTCTGCTTGGCACTTGTTCTCTCTGTGATCTCCACTACAAAGGTCTTAAAATGTATCTAACTGAGATGGCAGACACGTAGGACTGATGATGCTTTCTAGTCAGAAACATTTATGTGCTTTCCTGATAGAAGCCTGTCTTTATTCACAACCGCAGCAGAGACACTAGTTAGGTGAGGTTTGGGGGTAGCATGAAGTTCCGTGTGAAAGACTTGTGAACAGCTGTGCTGTGTATGTTTGGTAATTACAGACAAAAAGTGCTAGGAGCCAAAGCAGATTGTGATGGAAGAATGCAACAACTGTATTGCTTCTGAAGTTATGACAAGTGGGTGTGCCATGTGGCTTGTTCCACACTAGAACCTTTTGAACTCGGGTAGCTGCAATCCAGTTTTGCTCAGGCAATCTCAGAAGGCCATCTTGCTTTGCTTTGAGCCTGTATTATTCTCCAGCTGTTGAGTGCACTTTTCTGCAGTGCCACGTGGCCTTCTCTTACTAGGTGGGGCTTTCAGGGACTGATCCAAAGTGCAGCTCAGGGAGCTTCTACCAGTGACTCGCACAGAAAGTCACAAAACTGTGCAGTGGGTTTTAGATGCCCTGAAGTATTCTAATTCTGTGAGCCACAGTTGTCATGGTTTGTTCAACTTGTCCAGGTTTCCGTAACTGTCAGCAAAACCACTACAGTTACAAAGTGCTTTGTCCTTTTTTAGCACTGCTGGCAGTGATGTGTTAAGAGAGCCTGTTGGCATGTATGCGATTGTTGCTTTTAAAATGCTGAGTACCATCAGTGCTAAGTACTACTATAATAATTCCTCCTAATCTCTTACATTAATATGGCATGTTGTGAGGGCTCCAGAAATAATTTAAAATGGGTTTGACATAATGATACTCATTTCTGAAATGCAGTGAGCTTTGGGGTAGAAAGCATCAGGCTTGCTAGTGCAATGTTGCAAACAGCAGTAGGTATGTGAAACTTCCGTTAAGTGGAC